TATTTTGTAATCAACAAGTGTGTAACCCCGGTCAAAGTTTGACACTTCTCTGGCCATTATCTCCGTAACCGTTCAACTTTGGACATAGGTGTTTTGGGTTATATCGGCATACTTTAACATAAGGAACACCCTCCCGAAGTTTGGCACATTCCTCCTGGGACACCCTGTATATATATATTGAAACAAATCTTACATACTTAAGTTTTAAGTAATCTGACATAATGTCTTCTTATGTTTAACAAATGTTGTAAATAATTGGTTAATTAATTTGCTATGTTCAAATTGTCGTGTCCGTCTGTTTTGCAGATTTGTACCTTATTTTACACTTCTGTCAGTAGCTCAGACTGTACAACATCGAACAGTAGCGTGATCAGTGAATTGGAAATGAAGTGCGGCCTAATTTTGGTACCATCACCACATTCACCTTGTGTTACTGATGAAAACCTCAAAAATTCTCAGTCAAGAGGGTGAGTGATCCAGCTGAAATTTGAGCCAGGCACCTCCCAAATACAAATCAGAAAGATTACTGCTTTCTACAGCATTCATCTCACAGTACAAACCTGTTTCAAATCATACCAGGCATAGAGGAGGCGCATCTAGTCTACCTAAGTGAATACACGATCACTGGTAGTGAACGTTTTGGTCACACACCTGAATCAGGTTGGAAGATAGATTCAGGAACTTAAGGCTCCCAAAAGTTTTGAGTGAGACGGTTGGGAACTCGGAAATGAAGTTCTCTGATAGGTCGAGAAGTTCCAGGTTCTCTGCTCCTGTAACACAACACTGAATCATCATTCACCTGTTGCATGTGTGTTTCTTATTTACCTAATCTCTCTGAAGTTCTGAAGTTGAGACACAAGCCACTGAACTGGGATGGCATCACTGGAAGGCTTTCATGTGAGATGCCGTGACCGAGTTACTTGAATAGGAACCCCATCCTATTTAGCCTTTGTGAACCGCATACTAGTTCCACTACATCTAAAACACTACACGGCTGTGTAACTCATTGTCAACATGTTCATTTATTAATTTGTGCTTTGTCAGTGATTCAAACCATATAAATTTGACAACTATATTTAAATTTGAGTTAATATTTCTAATCACTTAATTATTTCAGTCTAGTATTTGCTACTTTAACCTTTAAACGCCAGACTTTTGAAATGGTAGTAAGCTTGAGCTGGCCAGAGTTTACTTAAATGCCTGCTGCTGGTGCACGTTTAAATGCTCGATGTTACTCTGAGTTTAAATGTCCATTCCTGTTAGGGCACTTAAACAATTTTAAGCATTGTGATTAAAAATGCTGCATCTAACATAATTTTTATGATAAATGAATGGTATTAACTTTGTTTGTATCAGCAAAGAACATAGTGTCGCATATTATAACAGAAGATTTGAAAATTTTTGTACAAAGAATTATACTCTTTTTTCAGTTTTTTCTTTTAATTTTGATACGTACTGCAAAATTATTTTCCCAGTTCTTCACAGAGTTGTTCTGCATTACAAATTCATTTCTGTTGGTAACACTTGACAAATTTTAGCAGACCCTGGTGTCATAAAACAGATGGAAGCAATAAAATCATTTGGTTCTCTGGTGGGAAAATTTACATCTTGTTACACCCTTCAGATTCTCGAATCTTTTGACTAAAGGACAGAAGAATGAAAGAATGGCTATTGAAGGAAAAGAGCTAGAGGAGACTCTTCTTTAGTGCTAAGACCTTCCGTTATAGCTGCAAGAGATTATTGCCCTTTCTATGGTTGTGAATAGACAGTTGCATCATGGCTTNGTGTGCACGCGCTTCCACTAGCGGAGTTTAAATGCCCGACTGCACAAAACGGGGTACTTTGGCCACAACAACTATATTCATCACTGGCACAGATGGGGCACTTCGGACATTAAAGGTTAAAATTAAATTTTCTAGGAAAGAGAATAATTTTCTTTGCAAAGTGCTTATAAATATGCAATCTGAAGATAGAAATTAGATCATTTTGCGTGATCTTCAGTTGTGCTTAACAGACACATATAGATGGATATAATTTCAGTGACTATCTGATGTTTGAAGTTACATGTTAAAAAAATTCTCCATTGGATTCAGTTTGAAATTTTATGACAGTCTCAGGTGATAACTGAAAATAGTCTATAGCTCTGTCCTATAAGTAACATGGACCACGTTATGAAGCAGAGAAAGCCACTGCGACATTAAACACATTAAAATGACACGTGTATGAAAAGAGAAACAACTTTTATTAATGCTATACTTCACTTCTGAAAAAGGTCCATAACAGACTTTAAATTTAAAAGCTCCCTAAAATAACAAAAATTATAGTTTATTTTATGGAATTTGTGCTTTATAGACGTTTTGTTTATGTCCAGTTACTCAGTTTATGTCAAACTTCTGACATTAAAAGAAGTCATTACTTTAAGTCCCTGAATGAATGTATACAGCCATAAACTTAAAGGTGTTTTTCTCATGCACTGTGTGTGAGAGTGTTGGCCTCTGTTGAAGACAAAGTTCAAATGAATTTGGAGTTCAAGTGCACATGTCCATCTCTATAGTGTAGGATACAAAGCATGATGGGTAACAGCATGAACATGTGGGTCATACTTAAGACTTCAGATAATGTTATGGCCCAGCTTAGAAAATGTAAACACATTAATAAGTGTAGATTTTTACGATTTATAGGCACAACATAGTTAGGTCACAGTCCAGATATTTTCATCACAAGAGCATCAGCTGGCATACAAACCACAGTCTTCTTTCTGTCACAGGTTCCTGAAATCACCTTCATTATTATAACAAAAAGAGTATTTGTAGCCAAGCATAAATCTGACTGAATTTCAAATACATGAAGTAACAAGTTAATGCAGTTAAGATAAACAATTACTAAGTAATTGGGATACGCGGTAGTGTAGTTGGTTGAGGGGCTATGCTACAAGCCAGAAGGTCGCGGATTCAAGTTCCTATGAGGTCATTGGATTTTTTTTAATTAACCTAATCCTTCCAGCCGTACTATGGCCCTGGGCTCAACTCAGCCTCTAACAGAAATGAGTACCAGGAATTATCTAAATAATTTTTCTGGGGAGTAAAGCGCGGCCGGCGCATAAGGCTGACAACCTTACCGCCATCTTTGAGCCGACTGTCTAGATCAGGCATGTCCAACGCGTCAATTGCGGGACGATTTTTGGTTGATCTCATAGGCCTATAAGGAAATTATACATGAAAAGCATGTAAATTAACTTGTAATATAATATGATTATATTCAGATTTTGAAGGGATAATACGTGTTAAAGTAGTCTGTACTTTCAATGTATGTTGCTTTTACATGAAACATCATGTGTCTTGTTATTTTTACCAATATTTTTGCTTAAAGTGAGGTACGATGATAGGAGGGGGTGGTAGATCACTGGTAGTTTTAACACCAAATAGTCGATCACAACATGTTTGAAGTTGGACATGCCTGGTCTAGATAATGTGGGACCCTCAACGTCTCACGACCCTATGGGCCTTCACGGCCTGGTACAGGCATACCTTTACTTTTTTATTTTTTTTACTAAGTAATTATTATAATCGATTTTTATTCTGAGAATCATATACTGTGGGCGAAATTGAGAGTTTTTAATATTCAAGCACTTGGTACATATAATAATCAGTGTGCTTTAAAGAGCTAAGAATGTGCATACATGCTACTCCCTTCCAGTTTCATGAGACTCCTTGAAGAGGAATGGAGAGGGGAGGGGAGGGGAAAGAAAGAGATTCATTTGCTTACCATGGAAGACATCACTATTGAAGCGAATGAGTCGATTGTGTGCGAGGTATAGGTAACGTAGGTGGCTAAGACTGGCCAAGGAACGAGCCTCCAGTGTGACCAATAGGTTGTGACTGAGGTTCAGGCTCTCCAATGACTTCTGGGACTGGAAGGCTGCTGTTTGCACCGTGCCTGCACAGACAAAATTTATTTATCAATGTCAGATGCTGTAACATGTTCCACAGACCAAGGGCAAATAAAAAGTAACTGAAAAATTCATTATTTTCTCTCTTGATGAACTGTAATGCCTAGTATTCATGTAGAAGTCCATCAACGTTTTGGAGGCATGTGCTTCCCCATTTTTAGAGTTGAACAGTAAGTTGAGCAAGAAACCAGCAAGAAGCAGATGGCTGGCATGCTTACCAGGGGAGTCAGAAAACACTCTTTGGCGAGTGTTGTAATTTCAGATGTCAAGTGTCTGTCACAAACACACATGTGGGCAGCAATAAGTCATTACAGACCTAACCAATAGCTCCATGCCACAGGGTCCTTCTTGAGAAGCTAATAGTTACTCAACTATGCAAGGAGTAGCCGATATATTATGAAACCCTTAAGTTCATTGCCATTTTCACAAGAGCCAGCCACTAGTCTCTATTCAAAGCCAGATATGCCCAGTACCCACCTTCCCATAATTTCTTTTAGACATTTTAATATTATCTACGCATTACAGACCCAGTACTTTATGAGGGTTAATTTAATAATAGAACTTAATGACTATCTTTTAAATGTGCTTTCCTTTTATGTGGTCAACTTCATGTGAATTGGTTGTGAGTCAATAAAAACAATATGCAGTCATACCAATGCGGTTGTGTGTCAGGGAAAGCACCTTGAGAGCCCGTGGTCCGTTCAGCGAGGAACTGGGCACAGCAGTGAGACTGTTGCGGTCCAGAAGTAGCTCCTAGAAACATTAAACATTCTGTATTATGTTGTATTTCTTTCATTTTAGAGCTTTTAACAATGATGTATTTAGTAAGTTGACTTGTTCAAGTGTTGCAGCTGTAACAGTATGAATGCAAATGAATATGAATATGAATGAATATGAATTGCAGATATAATTGTTAAGGTGGACACATTTATGTCTCAATAACACTTGTAAAATTGGAAATGAAGTGCCTCTAACCTCACAATTGAACACCTGCTACTCTTGGGTTCTCTTGGTTAGTAATTTTCAATGAGAGTTAACAGTAAACAGTAATGGTAGGATATTAGCCTCACACCCCTGACCAACTGGAATGACTGTTGCAAGATTCACTCTTCTACTCTGAAGATGGAGGCAGTAAGTTCTTCAGAAACACTGATGCACATCTGCCTGTTCCAGAAGACAGTAATCTTCATAGAATAACTATTTGTCAGCTGTTGATTCAATGTGCTTAACCCTTCAGCATACAGTGATAACTATTGGTGCAAACTGCTTCAGCATACTCAGGCACATTGTGTTTTGTACGATTCTTAGGTTGAGGAATCATAAGGAATGATGATTTCCTAAGGAGCTTTAACTGACTGGTCCTCATAATGGATATCAGTGTATACTACTAGGTGTGAACAGAGTTTTTAAATATTGTTCATGTCACTTGCATGCTTGATGCTTGATATATTTATCTTCATTCATACTTTTGCATCCTGTTGTGTACGTCACTATTGTGTAAATTGGTCCATCGATCACAACAATTCTACATTTCAATACGTAATTGATAGGCTCAAATGTCAATAAAAAACAGTTTATTAAGATGTTCTTTTTTGCTACATATTTTGGCCATCATCAGGTATTCATAAACAGTAAAATATATCTATGTTAATTACTCAGATGTGTGGGCAATGAATCCATTGCTATTAGTCTTGTCATGTACAAGTTTTTATATGGGATTACAATATTTAAATATATTGAAATACTTATCTAAATTAATAAAGTTTATTTTAAAATTATTATTTTTCTAATAATAATTTTAGTATATGTTAGAGGTATTTATGGGTGGGATGGAGTAGGGACAATGGTTTTGCCCTTTGTGGAGACATGGGTGTTATACAGGTGTTCACTGCTGGTGCTAGTGGTTGTATGTGGTTGTTTTGGGTGAAAACTGGATATTTAGAATTTTTTATCCTTTGGCATAATGTTGAATATTATGGGAAAGAATAAGAATATATTGTGAGGATGAAGTTGTGTTATATATTTTTATAGTAGTTTCCTTGTGTGCGTACTTAAACTTTTAGACATTCTGTTGTGGACTTGTTGTTGTATATTGTTATGCTTTTACATAACTGTGGGTTGAGATCTGATGTGGTGTTCTGTTGCTTAAACTAATACGAGTATTGATTCTGAGTTCCTGCTCTGAAGAATTTTATACAATATCACAGTGATACTCATATTTTCTGACATACAGTTCGGTCACATTTTATGTGAATTTGAAATAGCGAGATATAAAATATATTAATAAAGTCTCATTTTATGTGCAAAGTTTGAAATTAAGAAAATCAATGAGAATCACATATGTGCTTCAAAACTTGTCTTGCATTATGCGAGGTCTTCAGGAACGCACTCTCGCATAAAATGCAACCACACTATACTAATTTTGCCGCTTGACAGAGTGTCACAGAGAAGCACACAGGCTTTATACTGTAGCAGTGTTATATGTTGGCAGCCTTGAAGGGTGTCTACCTAAAGAATATAAAAATCTTATGGAGGGATAAGTGGCAATACACTGTGGTAACTAACTGCATGTTGCAGAGTTCTTCAGAAGTTGTCAATCATTCAGATGGTTAAGAAATTCCCCATATTCTTTGGAAATCAAAGATTAATTGTTGTGTTCAAAACAGTCTGACATTAGGCCCTAGTTTATCAAAGACCTCACACTACTACATTTATTTAAAATTTATTTTAACGTTATCCTCTTATCTATACATTGCTATCCAAAATGATATCATCCCTCTAGGTTTCCAAAATAAAATTCTATACTTATTTCTTTTCTTCCATGAGCAATACATGTTCTATCTTCTTATTGTCTTCCTTGAGTTGATTACGCCTGTAACATTTTGTGAAGAGTACAAAATTCTGAAGCTTCTCATTATGCAAGCTACAGACATCTGTTATGTCATCTCTCTTAGGTCCATATATTCTCCTCAGCACCCTCTTCCCATGGACCATACAACAGTATTCTTCCCTTTGAGTAAAATAACCAAGTTTCACACCCATATAAAACAGAGCTAAAATTATAGTTGCCCATGCCTAATCTTTCAGGTTTCAGAAACGATGTAGAATGACAAATATTTTGAACAAAATTGAAGCATTTCTTAATTTTTTCAGGTTATTTAATGACAGTATACGAACTTCATTTCTGCTTCAATGACACATCAAACCTGACAAAGATTATTATAATCAACACCAGATGATATTACTTATTGTTCAAGGTCTACCTCATTCCTTACTTCATAATTAATATATACTTCCCTCTGTTATACTGATATGAAGGAAAACAAGGGATAGACTTCGAAGAACCACGAACCATAGCCTTCATATTTGCTGTTTGTGGTCAAACTTGTTGATGACTTTTATGCAGGAGTTGGCCTATTCTGACACTAAGATTACTCATCTTCTAAAAATTACATATTCTGTGGGTGGCCCTGAACACTGACAGATATCTTGTGGGTGAGTCAGGAGAAAGTTAGGCTAGGCAACAGAATTCTAGGAGGGGAAGTAAACTGACTGCTCTGTTCCTCTGCCTAGGGGCGCCACAGTATGACAGTAGCATAAGTGAAGTGTGGGCATACATTCTCAAACAACGGCATGCAACAGTAACATGTAATGAACTGACATATAAGCTGACACAATGTGGCAGTTGCTTAGGGCCGAAACATGCTGCAACAGTAAAATAAAATGTGATTTTAATGACATTTAGGAAATAGTATAAACGTACTTCTTTTGGCTTATTTTGGACTTCACCCATCATCTGGTATGTAAAAGACAAAAGACGTCTTCAGGTGGATAGGGAAGGATAAACCTACTCAGTTGGGCCCGTTAGAAAGAGCTAGTCTCAATCACTGGAGTGATTGAGGTCCAAAATAAGCCAAAAGAAGTACAGTATACACCATCGTCAGAATCCTTTCAAGTCTGTCCCAGTATAAACGTAGCTGTAATAACATTTTAAAATAAGATAAAAGTTAATTTTGGATTAAAGACAGAAACAGGTGGAAGAGTGATACAGTGTATATTGCTGCACTGAAAACTTTATATTATATTTAAAGTACATTATTGTTTGAAGCAAATTTGTGGGAATATCTTCAGCTAAAGGAAATAGAGCTTGGATAGCTCAATGAATGTAGGCTATTGGTTTAACAATATAAACTCGTAGAGTAATTTAAATGTATGGGGGGGGGGAATCCAAGAGTTTCATGACTAAGTATTTCAGATAAAATGCCAACAGATGTCACATATAGTAATTTTAGTAAAGGACAGAATTGTTGACATTTAGGCACAGGGACTGTGAAAGATGCAACATTTGCCACTGTGTGAGAACAGCAGAGTCCCATACCTGAAGGTTGTCACATCCCTTGAGAATGCCTTCCTCAATTCCCTTGATGATGTTACCGCTGAGATCGAGGAGTCTGAGGCGCCCTAGTCCATGGAATTCACTGCTAGAGAAGATGGGGTTGAGGTTGTCACCTAGCAGGTTGTCTGCCAGGCGCAGTTCTTGCAGTGTTGTCTGCAGTCCCATCAGCAACCTGTAACATGGACACAGTGCTTCTTATCTTGGCCAGCCATTAGTGTTTTGCACGTAATGGAGCCTTATGCGGGCATTCACTTGCTAAGGACATCCATTCATATTGATTCATGTACACTGAATCCGAGGGAGCCGGTATTGCAACTGGCTGCGGCCTGGGTGACTGAGAGGTCGGAGTTCGAGTCCTGGTAGGGTCAAGAATATTCTCTGCTCCGCAGCGTCCAGACCGGCTGTGGGATCCACCCAGGCGGGCACATTTTCCCCAGGGGTAAAGCGGCCGAAGCGTTAATCTGACCACTCAACCTTCAACTAGTGCCGAGGCCAATAAAACGTGGATATATACAGCCACTCTTCCGTATGTGTTCATTGTATAGTGCTTAATTAGTTAAGCACAGGGACAGTTCTACCTTACATTGAATTCGAGATGCTTAGTCTCAGCCAGTTATCGTGTCAGGGTTTTCGTGGTATTATTAAAACTCTCAAGGCCTATTCCAGGATAGTGCCTTAAATTACGACGGAATTGCTTCATTTCACCACTTAACAATTTATCATTCACTATAATTCCACCGACCGTGTTAATAAATGGAGATTGCATTACGTAGAAATGACTGAAGCCAAGATCTTCATAATATTTATTAGAATCTACTCCTTATTAACAAATAAACATTTAAGCGCCAACATTAAACTTACACTCCATAAAGCACTGATCAGATCGGTAGTAACTTATGCTTGCCGGGTCTGGGAGTTAACGGAAGATGCACACCTCTTAAAATTGCAGCGCCTACAAAACAAAATTCTCAACACCATTTGCAAATTTCCGAGGTGCACACCGGTCCGCGATCTGCACACAGCTTTTAGCCTTCCGTATACGTGTATACAATTATAGAACAGAATTGTGTAGGCGACAAGCAGAAGTCATACGAAATCATGAGAATGAACATAGGACATACACAGGAAATACAAGAGGCTTAAACTTGGCCGTAGTAGCATAAGATACGTAAGATAGTCATGATCTGCTTTGCAAAGCCTGTGCTGACAAGGACTTGAATATATAGCGCAAAAGGAAGAATTTTCACTAACATGTTATAAGTGGGATACGCACGCTTAGCCAAGCGTATTCATAGGAGATAAACCCATCTTCTCGTCAGAGAGGACGTTACGTAAGGACTTTTACCGCAAGAGTTCAGTTGGAAAAAAGGAATCTCTGGTCGTGAGTCTCAAGGGGCTTGACGCCAAGACGAACTGATTGGCGGTGCGTGCTGTGAGTTGTGAATTCAAAGAGTGAGTGAGAGTGAGAGTCAGCAGAGTCACTCTCCAGTAGAGGGGAGTGACTAGTAGCAGTCAGACCCCTCCTCTCGTCGAAAATGAGGCACCGTTTTAAAACACGCAAAAATCTGGAAAGAACAAAAATACATGTATGATTATGGGTCCCAAGGGAGGAGCCGAAACCAAGAATGCGGACCAGCAGAAATTTACTGGACTTAACTACTAGTCAGTCGAGAGAGAGTCTACAGTCTACTACAAAAACCCACGGTGCATTTGAAGTTCTCACAAATGCCTGTCTTCTGAGCTCTGGCGCCTTGTTTTCCATTACGTCGTGAGCTGTTACCGGACTACACGGCGTCATATCCCACAAAACAGGATGATAAATGTGAAATTTTCCATGTGCTTAATTACTTAAACACCACGCCACGAAGACGTATACGAGTGGAGGTGTAGCTCCACCAATGTTGAACTCGAAACTAGACGGAGGGGAGTGGTCAGCTGCACGTCCCTGCTACTTTACTCCCGGTACCCATTGAATGAGAGGAGGGTGGGTGGGTCTGGACCGTCTGGACGTTATGCAGAAGACAAGAATCTCTTATCCCTGCAAGAAATTGAATCCCAAATTCCTCAGCTGTCCAGCCCGTAGCCCGTCAGAATTACTTTACGACTGGCGGTTTACCGCCAATCAGTTCGACAAGCCCCTTGGGACTCACGACCAATTTATATATATATTTTCAAATGAACACTTGCAGCCATAGTCCTTACGTAACACCTTTTGTGACAAGAGGCTTTGTCTGCCGTTTACAATTGCTGCTGGTCCTCAGCAGCGCAGTCATTCTCAGGTCCGAGTTCCGCGGCACTCACGAACACATTTTACTGTCTCAGATTCGAGACTCCCCCAACCTGGAGGGCGGGATCCTCGTATTAACATCCCCCAGGAACAGGGTGGCCCAGTTATAACCCCAGGCACTTGGTTCCCTTTTCGTCGCCTCCTACGTCTCGCAGGGCTACGGTGGAGGTATTCGACTCCGCCTTCACATGGAACACGGCACTCCATAAAAACGCACTGTCTTGAGAATGTCTTCCTGTGTGTCAGAAGGAAGACCTCACCTGTCTGTAAGCCTCCGGAGAGAGTTGCCCGAGAAGTCGAGCGACCGAAGCGGGAGGGAGGAAGCTGTGAAGGCCTGTGTGGGCAGCGACTGGTGACCCGCCCAGCGCTGGCTGAAGGACACGACGGTGGAGCTGTACGGCAGGGCAGGAAGGTCTCCAGGGAACACCACGCGGTCGCAGTCCATGATGATCCCGTCCTCCGCTGGGGAGCAGCGGCACGGATACCTCAGCTCCCAGTGGAGCTCGGAGCAGGGCACTGCTTGCCCAGTTACGGCTCCCAACAGCAGCAGTGGCAGCAGGCAGCGTACAGACAGCGGCATCCTAGCCACTGCAGTTGCCGCTGGAAAGGGACACAGATACCTGGAGCCAACAAATATTGATACCAAATTGTATTTAAGCATCAGTTTAATCACTTGGCAAGAACTGTGGAGCCACAACAGCCGGCCGTTACTAGGCAGCGCCCCGTAAACAGGAGAGGAACTTTTTTTTTCTGCCGATGGCTGTGCACGCAACAGTGGAATACCTCATGCCATCGCTAAGCAACAATTACACTGCAACAGAGGAACGGTGTTTTCGACTCAGTCCGTGCCTAAATGTTATAAGCAGGGCAAGTTGGGAGCCAGGTAACCGCTGGGGTTCAGTTGTTGTGAAGCTGGTAGCTGAGGCACGGGGACGGCTAGGGAAGACAGAGAAACCTTTATGTACGCTGCAGTGACAGGCGGGGCGGTAATGACGCCATCCTCAGTGAGGTTGGCCGAACCACGGCTGTGTCTTTGGTGGGGACGTATCATGGACCAGGGATGCGTTGGGACACCTCCTCGTGGTCCCGCCGGGCAACGGCAGTCTTGGGGGTCTGGATCAGTATGACCTACCGCGGCTGGCGGCCATGCTCCCATAAAGGGCAATGGCTTTATGAGTGGAGCCTCCCACGCGGCGGCATAATGACTCTTGTGTGTCACTACGGAGTACCCGGGACGAATGCGGGAGAGCACTCCTATGGGGTAGCTTCGGCTATTTGAGTTGTCTCCCTAGAGTACCGATAAGGTGCCGCGAGCCTTTGGGCTCAACACTCTAAAATGGTTTGACCAACCCATGCGGAGGGGTGGAAATGGGGGAGCTCTGAAGCAACCCCAGGATGCCCTGGTCGCAACCTCATGACTAACTGGTATCGCACTCCCATTTATCGTCTGGGATACCCCTCTCCTCCCGAACAGCCACTCTGAATTCACTACAGGACCAAACAACCTAAGCCAAGGTGTGAGGCATCGTGCCGAGGGCTGCATGGCACTGGGGTGGTAATTAGCCAGTGTCTTAAACGATCCCCTCGGGGGACCAGGCAGCACCCCGCTGTATCTATGCCTTCCACCCGTATGGAGCGCTGCGTGTGGTGACCTTTTAAATCCCCATAACTCGTGGGACCAAAATGAAAGGAACCAAACTAAAAACTGGTCGTAAGGACCTTAAACTGAAGAGGGGCCCCCCTTAAAGGGGATCCCTATGAGAAATGCTTCAGCATGGGGCTGGAAGCTCTGATGAACCATTGAGGGGCCCAGTTGCAACCAGCGAACCTGCTGTCGAAATTTCAGCCAAAGGCAAGGATGAACCAGTGGTTCAAAGCCTGCCAGAGGTAAAATAAAAAACTACTCTCCTGGGGGTCAGTAGTACTAACACAGCACTGCAGGGAGCTAGTACTTCTAACATACCTGCAGCAGGAGAATATCCTTTGCACTGAGTCATTCTGTCCACAAAAAACGCACAACAGAACGCTGATCTCCGGTAGTATACTCCTCATGCACCATCGCCATTTTGACTACTGAAACTAGCCTCTGAACATGCGCATGCGCGTTGCTACCTAGACTGTCATGAAGCTGCACTCTACTGTTACCTAGTGATACACATAGAGAACCTATTACGTCCATTACAACAGTTTTACTTTAAAGAAAGCAGTCTTCTGGGATTTGGCACCGTGTATATGTGGTGTTAACCGACGTTTCGGAGGAACGTATCGCCTCCATCTTCAGAGTAGAAGAAAAAATATAAGAATTCTGCAAGCGGAGAGACCGTGAGAACCGGTATAAGCAGACTGTGTGAAGATGGAGGCGATACGTTCCTCCGAAACGTCGGTTAACACCACATATACACGGTGCCAAATCCCAGAAGACTGCTTTCTTCATAGTCACCGCCGTGAAAGCCTCAAATCTTACACAGTTTTACTTTAATTTGTGTCCTACTTACTGACTCTCCCTGGTATAAAATAAGATTCTTATTATCTGAAAATTAACATTACAGCAACATGAATATTTGAGGTTATATTTTAGAAAGGCGTGAAGCCATTTTTAGGTACGCTTTATATGGACAGCAGATATGCTCTGTTAATATGTCACCTTAGTCCCTGCAAGCTCTGAGGCTCTGGACTTGGCCACAAGGCAGAAGGTGATGGGGACCCAGAGTTTGGTCGTTGTAGCCCTGAATCGTGACAGTCACGGCCCCCCTGATCGCTCGAGTTGCAAGAAAGGGCCACGCCCGTGTCTGATTGTTAGCGCATGCGTACACAATGACTCCTTAGCGAACTTTCGAATTCACACGGCGAGCCTAAACCGGACAAATACAAAGTTTCTTGAGAAGCTGATTGTTGCTGTTTATATGAACATTAAGCTGCACATTGCCCATTATCTAAGCTACATTCTACACAGGTCGCGCAGCTGATTAGGAAAGTCTCCCTTCATTGTACCCAAAGGTTGGTTGCCGTGGCCACTGGTACCTATCCCGAGCCCGTTGAAACCAGTCACCATGTTTCTTAAAGACAGCTTCAATATTCCTCTTCCATCTATGCCTATGCTCCAATGGTATCTCCTCTTCATAAAAGAAAGTAAAGATGTAAACCTATCCCTGTAACAGACCCTGGAGGCCCACAGGGTTGGGAGACGTCGAGGCTCCCACATTTTCTAGACAGTCGGCTTGCAGTTGGCGGTGAGGTTGTCAGCCTGACGAGCCGGCCGCTCTTTACCTCCAGCAAGATTCCTGGTATTCATTTCTGTTGGAGGCTGAGTTGACCCCATGACAATAATGCGGCTGGAAAGATTAGGACAATCGAAAGATCCAATGACCTCATCGGGAATCGAACCCGAGATTTTCGGGATTATAGCATGGTGCCTCAATCAACTACGCTACCGCGTACCCCCATATATATTGTCACATGATAGAGTGACTACAGACGGTGTTTTGATTGGTAATTGGATTTATTGACCACTTACAGATCGTAACTACAAGTAACTACAGCGCTCTCGCTAATTCACGCACTCTGCAGTTTATAACAGCAACAGCTCACAAGGAACGAACCGCGGCAGTCCTCTAACTGACTCACTCACCAATAAACTCACTCCACTGCACTGCACGAACTGAACTAAGTTCGGTCGGTCGCGTTATATAGAATCGGAGCGGACCACACAGAAAACACCGCTTCCAACGGTTCTTCAATTTTTGCGAGCAGGCTGCTGCCTAGCAACGGGTCTATATGCCACAATATATTATAATCACTTCGCATTCTAACCTATGCAGTTGGTACAGTATCATTAAATAATTTCAGGCCCACGTGCGTGGAAAGTAGTGAATTCACACAGTAAAGTAGAGCAAAGTACGTGTATTCATTCATTCATCAGTAATCTGTCAGACGACAGGTCCACAGTCTCTTCCAAAACAGTTCCTCCACTTAATGCGATCTTCTGTTTTTGGAAAGAGACTATCCAGGAAAAGTGATAATGTGGTAGTTTTTCCATTTGCTTTCCACATCGCAGTACAGCAGCCGTTCAAACCACTCTGGTCACGCCTGTTGCTATACGAACTTGAACCATCTCGAGCATCATTTGCTCTGTGCTTCAAGTCGCTGCTGATGACGCTGCTTCCGGCATCAGTTTTTGGTGTCTCTCTTCGTCTGATGCCTACCCTTTGACCTGTCCAGCAAGGGAGGCCCTGCCAGTAGCTACGCTACCGCTGGTATAGCTCTCAGGGTCCTTGGCATGCTCAAAACCCCTCACCACGATAAGATGGAGACACCAACGAGGGGGAAAGTACGTGTATATGGTAAAGTAATTATAAAAGAATTCAACAATGCATAAAATCGAGCAAGTGAGCCCAACTGAGTCTTCTGACTGGTGTTCGGGAAGTGCTAGGTTCGAATTCCCACCGGGATACCGTGTATTCTAATTGAGTTTTCGGTAGTTTTCCTTAGTCCTTTCCAGGAAAATGACTGGTTTACATCTTAAATTAAACCACGACCAGTTCCTTGCATATACAGTGGAACCTCGCTTAACGAGCACCTCTCATAACGAGTGATTCGCATAACGAGCAAAACAAATTGTGGGGGGGATGACTCGCATAACGAGTGACGAGAGGGGAAGTCCCGAATTGTGCGTTTGCTACATCAGTCTGTGTTTAGCACTCGTTCCGCTAGCATCTTAGTGTCGCTTGTGATCACACATTTTTCCAAACTTGTGTTCAGACATATTATTTGTGCGAAGTTTAATAACCCTTGCAAAAATGTCCCTGAAGAAAAAGCCACAAAAAACAGCCATAAGAGAATAAAAATAACCGTAGAAATGAAACGTAAAATCATTGAAAAGCAAGAACGAGGTGTGAGCGTGGCTGATCTAGCGCGCACATACAATCGGTCTACATCAACGGTTTGCACGATTTGGAGTTGCATTGTGTTTCACAGCAAGAAGTTGTGGAGGAGAGTTTGCCAGAGGAGGAGGAGGAGGTAACAGCAAAGCAGCAATCTTCTGGCACAATAAGAGAAATGCTAAAAGCATGGGAAACTATTGCATCGTACATTGAGAAGCATCACCCTAATAAGGCAGTGCCTATGCGCACTACAAATCTATTTAATGATAATGCTGTGTCGCATTTTCACCAAATTTTGAAGCATCGGCAAAAACAAATGTCTCTAGACAGCTTTCTAGTAAAAAAGAATTAGATATATATCATAAATAATAAACTAATTATTTCGATTTTTTTTGTTTTCTGCAACTCGAATTCGCATTCCAGGTTGGTTCATTCCGCATAGAAGAAAAGATGAAGATGATTCACGCTCCTTAACAATGTATACATAATTTTCTTTGAATAAACGTTATACATAAAATTTTTTGAGTATTTTTTCGGCATGGAACGCATTATCGTATTTTACATTAATTTATATGGGAAAAATTGTTTCGCTTAACGAGTGTTTCGCATTACGAGTAAGATTCTGGAACGGATTATGCTCGTTAAGCGATTCATTATTGAATCTCATCCAACCAACCGACCTCCTGTTACTGACAGCGTCACTAAATGGCCTACGAACACAAAGAAGCAACGCAAAGGCT